GTTCCCCGGCTATTAGTACCCGAGACGGCGTGCGGTTTTAGTCGGTTCGGGTCCGACATGCCACCTATAGGTGGTATCCGAGGGGATTTCCGCACGAAAAAAAAAGGGTGCCGTAGTCCTAGCAAAGAACCCTAATTACCTACCCTATGTCTGTCTGTCTGTCTGTTGACGACCCTAGTAGAGACTGTTCTCGTAAAGAACTGCGTAGAAGCAGATAAATTATAACGCCGACGTAAACCGCGGTAAAATACAGCCTATATAAGGGGTCTACCAATAAGAACGTCCTGGTTTAAAAATTGAATAAAACACACATTTTTTTTTTTAAATGCATCCGATTGATTTATTTAATAGATAATATTATGTATGCAATTTATGTTTTAAATAATATATCGAGCAAATGACCGCCGCGGCTCTTTTTGCAGACGGTCACCCGCTTTTCGATGACGCGGTGCACCATTTCGGCCGGTATATCGGCTATGGCTCGCCGAATGTTGGTTTTTAGGTCACGAATTGTGGCTGGATTATTGCTGTACACTTTAGATTTAACGTAACCCCAAAGAAAATAGTCTAAAGGTGTTAAATCACACGATCTTGGTGGCCAACTGATCGGCCATTTCTCGAAAATAACGACTCACCAAACTTTCCACGCAATAATTCCATGTTCACTCGAGTAATGTGAGGTGGTGCACCGTCTTGTTGAAAATAAAGGTCGTCTGCATCAATATCATCAAATTCCGGTATGAAATATTCGGTTAACATCGACTTATAGAGCTCGTCATTCACAGTAACAGGGTTTCCTTCGCCACTTTCAAAGAAGTACGGACCAATGATTCCACCGTACCATAAACCGCACCAAACTGTTATTTTTTGCGGATGCAATGGTGATTCATGAACCACACGTGAATTTGACTCACTTCAATAGCGACAATTTTGTTTACTAACCATTGAGCCAGAAATGGGCTTCATCTGAGAAGATGATTTTACGATGAAAATCGTCATCGGCTTCCATCATTTCCAGTGCATAATCGGCAAATTCACGACGGATATAATGGTCGGATGGCTTCAATTCTTGTGCCAAAACAATTTTGTATGGGTGTAGGCCCAAATCCAACCGCAAAATACGCCAGGTGGTCATTGGGAGTGAATGAAACACTATTAAAAAACGTAACGTAACAGGAGATTTGTACAACAATGCTCTCATTGCTCTTAGAGTTGCCAGGTCCCACTACAGAGCTGCTGTGGAAAAATCCAAGAGAAACTTAATTCAGAAACTTGTTGATAAACTCGATAGAGAGGGCCCGTGGTCACCTTTGTATCACGAATTTAAGGCAAATAGATCAATCGACCTTGCATACATACAGAACATCAAAATTAATAACAGATATACCACAGGAGTAGAACAAACAACAGAATATCTTTTAGACTCACTCGTACCTGACGATCGACCGGAAAACGACACTGATCGTCACCGACAGATCAGGCAGTGGGCCATCGAACCACCACTATCTCCAATGTCTGATTTACCATCTTCAGACGAATTTCTCGGTATCATTAGATCCTTGCCGCTAAACAAGGCTTCGGGCGATGATAAAATATCTAACAAAATGATAAAAGAAGCTTGTAAACTTTCGGGTGACACGATTTTCACTGTCTTTAAACGTTGCATTGCTGAAGGAATATTTCCTCGTATATGGCGGTGCGGTAATATTCGTATAATACCAAAAAGTGGCGACAAGCCACCGGATGATCCTAAATCCTACCGACCAATAACATTGTTACCATCGTTAGGAAAGCTTTTAGAACGTCTTGTAGTGCCCCGGCTTCTGCCAGGTGGAGTCAAATTTCATGATAGACAATTTGGATTTACGTTGGGTAAATCGACAACTGACGCTGTTATATCGGTTAGAAAGCTTGTCACAGGGTCAAAATTTCAATACGTGCTGGCTATTTTCTTGGATATATCTGGCGCCTTCGACAACGCATGGTGGCCCATGCTGTTGCTGAAATTAAAATCACGGGGGTGCTTTAAAAATATTTATTCCCTTATCTCTTCGTACTTTTCACAAGGTACAACTAAACTAAGACTTGGTCATCATTCTGTGTCGAAGGCGCTTACAATGGGATGTCCTCAGGGATCGGTGCTAGGTCCATACTTGTGGAATATCGGCTTCGACGATTTTCTTGCGATACCAATACCATCCGGATGTACTCTGAACGCGTATGCTGATGACGGCTTATTACTGGTGGAATCTGATACTAGGGCGGGGCTTGAGAGATTAGCCAATAGATGTTTGAACTTGATATCTCAATGGGGTGAACGTAATCGCTTAACTTTTGCACCCAACAAAACCTTCCAGCTACTTTTAAAAGGTAACCTCAAATCACCGCCGAGCATTAGATTTGACAATGTTACTGTAAAAAATAAAACCGCAGTGTGTTATCTAGGATTAGTTTTAGAAAGAAACTTTTCATTTATCGAACATATTAAAATAGTTAATGAAAAGTCTAAAAAGAGTTTCTGTGCATTGACAAGGATATCAACTGCGACATGGGGTCTATCATTTAATACATTAAGGATCATATACGGAGCTACTTATTTAGGTTCTATGTGCTATGGTGCACCTGTATGGGCCGATAGGGCGACCGTAGGCGCTGTCCGTCGCAAACTGTTACAAGGCCAACGACTTGCACTGATATTCTTGTGTAAGGCATATAGGACGGTTAGCACTGAGGCTTTGCCGGTGTTGGCGGGTGTGCTTCCGGTCGATCTCGAGGTGCAGAGACGTGCAGCCATGTACTATTCAAGACAACAAAACATGGAATGCGATTTTTTGGGCGCGCGGGATCGCGGTAAAATTACAAGATTGCTTCAACAGCAGCCCGATGTCTATAATGACCTCATAGACGAATGGCAACAACGCTGGGATGAATCATCCAAGGGGCGCCATCTTTACCAATTCTTTCCATCTGTTCGCGAACGGTTGTCGAGGACATGGCTTGAGGTGGATCACTGTGTCTCTCAATTTCTTACGGGTCATGGTAACTTTAAGAGCAAGCTTTATTCATTTAAATTAGTCGAGTCACCATTGTGTCAATGCTCAACACCTAACTCTCACTATGAACAGTCTGCTCATCATATCCTCTGGGAATGTAGTCTTTGGTATAATGAACGTAATATAATGCTGAATAGCTTGCAGGTGACATCTGGGGCGGTATACTATGGGGATCTTGTGTCAACTAGGGTGAATTTCCGTGCGTTTAGGCGATTCTGCCATACATATTATAGAAATCAAACATAGCTCACGTAGGACCCGTAATATTTGTGGCCGTGGTGCTCCCCTGTTTAAAAGGGTGTATGCCCATTTTACTTCATTTTGTCTCCCGCTTTGCTAAGGAGGGAAGTGGATTTACTGTATTTCCAACTCCTCCAATTTTCTTCTGATTAATTTCGTTGCGGGTTCCAAGACAGTTTAATTTCTTCCTGGGACTTCCCGAGTGTCATAACTCGGTGTGTTCGTGGGTCACTGCTGTGGATCCTGGTGTACAGGAGTTACAGTGGTGGGCGTGTGGGTGGGATTAGTCCCAGCCCCAACTCTTGTGAACGGCGTTGAACTGATCGATTTGAATTCGCATCAACACTGGCCTGAACGGCTGCGATATTCTCTTCACTACGGGCATTTCTTTGTCTCACAGGCACAGCAGTATCGTGGAGAGTAAATTCACTTTTGTTATTATGCGTTTTATAGCGCGCACAGAAGGAGCACTATGACGACCGTTTTTTTGCGCGAAGCGCTCTTACTGTAGCGGTAGGAGAACGCGAATTTGAGTAATAATTTTGGACAAGTTCCAAGCGTTGGTTTAAAGTGAAACGTGACATGATAAAATGGCAAACCTTACTGAACACAAATGTCAAGAGACGTCAAAGATCCATCATCAAACATGGCCGCTATGAGCTGTCAAAACCAGGTCATCCCTATTGGTAGACCCAGTACAAATACAGTATTATATATTTCATACTATATGGATATATTTAGAGACAAAAAAAGTACAAAGAATACTTTTTCTTATAATAGGCCGAATAAAATGTGTACATCATTTAAGCAGGTTGGTCGATTAACATAATTGATGCAACCATCCATTGGTTCCACTCAATATTTGAGTATTAATTAAAGAAAGGAAATAAAAATATCATTTATTTCTAAATCACTGTTACAGTCCTTAAGCTTTTCCAGTAAGTAATCTTACGATACTTACATTAGGAGTGACTCACATCTGCCACTCAAATCAGAACCTGACCTAATGACTACGAGACCAACTGGGAAGTATACTCATTTAACATATTTCTAAATCAGCCGTCCTTCCTTTTTTAAATCAGTTAAACACAACTATCGACTTGGCGTTCATATCATCTTTTTCCGTCACGTCGTGAATTACATCGATTGCAAGATGTTTAACTTGAACATAATTTGCTAGCAGAAATGACTTAATTTAAGGCGACCGCAATGGCAAAGCACGGGCTCTTTCGATAATACATATTTTATTACTCTGTTAACAACACTGTAACTCTTAAGAGTCTATTCAGATATATTCATATATTTTATCTGAAGAGATCTTTGAATATAATAGCGATTAGTAACTATAAAAAGTTCAGTACAACGTTTGATCCTTTATGGTGAACTCGTAAAGCAATACAATTAAGCAATGGGCGTGCATTAACACCTCACAAAATTTTCACCCACACGAAGTGTGTGTAATTCTAGCAACTCATGAATTGAACCTACATCACAGCGCACAATATGGGATTACAATAATAATGTGATTAAATACAGAATGTAAGGGCCTTACTTCGGTCAACAAAACAATTTTTTCTATATTTGTGCTATTCCTAAAGAAGAGAATCCACAACATCGTATAAGTTAGTACACAACCACCTTGGATTAACTACGGTCCGAAATTCATAAAGCATGTTAACATGTAGCGCAAACAATATCTTGACTCACCGCCATCTTTTCCAAGGAATTCGTCAATGGCGTCCATAAATCTGGAAATAAACAAAACCTGGTTAATAACTAAAACAAAGCGTTGCCTCAGCACTGCTGTTAACAATTTGCATTTTAAGTATTTCCTTCAAATTGCAGTAGTATGAAACTTAGTTGATTTTTGGACCAAGCAAATCAGCACCCATCGTTAGTTTTAAATATACATATTCTATATTAAAAGTGTCTTGTAAAATGTCCAGAGAATAGTTTACATTTCATTTTTGTCTATAGTCATTTCTAATGCTATAAACCATAACAGTTAAAGACGATGTAAAGTGATACCTATCAATAGTTATTCCGCTATAAAACATTAAATTGAATTTCACAAAATTTTGAATCTACGGCACACGTCAAAAGTAAGATGAAATATTATCATGTATCGATCGCAGCGTGTCGTCTTACTTTAATCGATTTTTTTACACCTAAAACCGCACGATCAGTGGGCGTCTGAGAATTACAAGGCGTTTCTGCCGATCGCCAGCTCAGCCTATTTTGTGAAATATGTTTGTTTTCATCATAACAAATGTCTTTAATATTTGTTACGAGGGGCGCCGTCAAACCCCAACGAGGTTTATAGGAATGTTTTCTCAAATACCTTTGAAGGGTGGTCCCATCTTAAAGTGTTGATATTTCAACTTCTTATCTACATAAAAAATAATGTCGCTAAAATGTTTTGATATTCTTAAAGATAAATTTAGGGTTGCGATGATTTAGCCTTGTCATGCAAAATCGCAACCGCTTTTTACTAGATGCAACTTTATTCAAATCATTGTAGTAGTATTTAAGCGACACACACACACACACGACTTACAGCAGTGTGGCTACGGGATACATCCAAAAGAAATGTACAATTTAGTTTTTTATCGTGGCCGATATTAGCATCTAAAATGATGCAAACGAGCTGTTTATTTAGTATGAAGATGAAATTTTTAAAAGTTGAGTCGTTCGTACTCTATAATATTTATAATCCAGTTATAAACAAGTATTAAATACCGACCGTAGAACAGAAAAAGAATAATCGTTGTTATTAAAACCGTAAAATACATAGCAAAAATTATAATTGCCCATGAAAAAGGAAGGACAAACTCCGCCAGTTAAATGTCATTAAACCCCAGGTTCGTTTAGCAAGAGGATTCTATGAAAATTAAACTTTAATCCAAAAAAGTTTACAAATGAAACCAGGCGCGACGTGGACGTGTGGCGCCGCAGAGTAAACAGTTTAATTATACTTTTGGTCACGAATGTCACGATTCAACAAATTCATAACGTTTTTCAAGGTCTTTCCTTACGTTTTCTAAGAGAACGCTCTTCCATTTGGAATACACACATACAAAGACTCATCATCATCACAATACCTGAGTGTTTTGGTTTGTATATCTAAGAAACGAATGATATTTTTAACAAGCCTACTTACGCTGTAAATATTGTTGTGAAAAAACTTACTAAGAATAAAAAATATATAAATACATTATATACATATTGTATTTATTTCTGTAATCTCTCAGGGCAAGTAGAACTTAGGAAATACAAAACATACTATCATTCCTTTGTGAGACACCGGTGCCTGTGGTAGGAAAGGTATGAAGCAGATCACCAGGCTCCCACCTCCTGGCCGAAACATAGTAACGTTCATTTTAGCACGTGCTTAGTCTAAGTCTTCCTATAGTTTAAGGTGAAGTATTAAAGTAGATCGCGTTTATGAGATGGGTGTATTGTATCTTTGGAAATTACATGGTATGCGGTAGTAGGTTGTACATACGAACTTTAAGTGAATTTATTACAGTGACCATTAAGTGTCTCATAATCAAGAAAACACAATGTGAGCGTATATCACAAACTAGGAAATCCTTAATTTAAAAAAATAATAATTAGAATTCTATGTTCTGGTAAGATTCGATTACGACCCAGGACAAATATTGTGATTACCGAAGTGGGACTGTAATTTTTGGATTACACTAAGTGTCGTCCTATGTGGGGATCGAACCCACAACGCTCAGCGTAGCAGTAAGCGGTGCGCGTGGCGACCGCTTAAACCACTACGCTACCTGTGCAGTAATTCACTGTAGTCATCCACTTCCTTAGAAAGGTATAACCTTGCAATAAACTTACATGTGACGGATGTGGTTTTAGCTGGTTCACTTCCAACATACTATTCACCGTGAGCGCTTGTGATGACCCGTAGGGGTTTCTACACAAAAAAAAATCGTAAAAACTATACATAAAAAACAGATACGGAAGGTTCCACATATGGCCACAGTTAATCATATGCAAGATCGACGTAATTGTGAGCGACTTTAGTGTACATTGTAACAACTTATAAACTTTCTAAGCATTTCCTGACCAATACGGACGTCATTATTTAAGAACTGTCAAAATTGTGTATTTTATTACTCGGGCGGCAGATCGAAGTAACGTGAATTACATGCTTTCTTATTTAATATTAGTAGCGTCTTGCGTTTGTGAGATAATTTATATCTAGCCGCGTTATCTGTTCGGGAGATCGCTCCCGAGATATAATCCGGGTATTTTTCATGGCACACCGGCTGCGGTGCCACTGTCGTACCTTGCGTTGTTGGAAAATTTATATCACTACCAGGAGGCATTGCCGCAATTATTACCGTCGTCCCTCTGAATGCTTTAAACGATAGCATTGGAGAAGATGACACATCGACTGGAGTTTTACTTGTAGAATATTTCATAGTTTCGGTATGTTTGCCAATGCTAAGGCTAAATGCATAAATTATTATACTTATATAATATATCATGCTAATCTTACGGATTACATTGATTAATGATCTTGAATCTTGACGACATCTGAAGACTACCTGTTCGCCGTAAATATAAAGTTGAACATAACCGATAAGCCGCTGTTTTAATGAAAAAGATCATAAGCTTTGAAATTTTGTAGTCCATTAAATGTCAAATTTACAAGACCATTACACGAGTTTGACGACACACGATCATAAAATATGCGTATAAACTGTCCAATAATTTTATTGCGAATTAATAACGACATTTATTACAACTCAACAGTCTCATACTTGTTCCTAGTTTATTTTCATTGTTACTTTATAACCGAAAAAAAATACCAGAATTATTATATATGTATACTATTGGTATTTCATACAGCTTTATTTAATTCAAGTATAGGTAACTCTATCAGGTAATCAAGTGACATGTTTTCAAAAGAGAGCGGACCTCACATACGCGACGTGATCGCATCCATCACAGTAGAAGCGTACATGCATGTCGTTACGTGTCGGTACCCAACAAGCACCGAAAGTGGCCGAAACAGAGATAATAGGCGACATTTTGATACAACGCGAGATAAGGACTAAGGAGGTTCCCATGCGATCCAGTGCGCCCTTATAAGAACCGCGTTGAAAAACATCGGGCCAAAGTTCAGACGTGGATTAAATACAAGCAGAAAATATGCATTCGGTGAGTCATAAAGTAACTACACAATCTAAATTTTAAACCAGGATTTAGCTCCAAATTACAAAAGCATTGAGAGATTCATAAGTTCATTATGTACTTAAGGCCGTGTTGGTCATCAATAATATTACAAAGTTTATTAAACGAGCAAAATGAAGACGTGAGGAATAAGACTATCAAAACTGTTTTAATGATTTAACATAAACTTAATGAATCTTTAGTGTTGTGTATAGTTAGAATATAATTTGTGCTAAAGGTGTTTCGTTGGCGTCGTCAGGTCGTGTTAACGGCGTGCAAACTGCACATCACAATCGGCGGTGTACTGTCGAAGTAATTACCTGCTCATAAAATTCTTTTTTTAGGAAGGCAGGAATAGAAAAGTAAATGAATGAGTTTGTCATAACTTAAAAAACACTTAGATTGTACTTTTTATTTTAAAGTCGATCGCCAAACGACTATACAAAATCTAGCCAATGTTTTGAAAAAGGCTTTTGAAGGAAAACATTCGTTAAGGAACTGTAATTGTAACTAAGCCTTGAATTAAAAATGAATAACTAGAATTAAGACAGGTCGTAGTCTAGTATCATAGTAATAAAATAAACACTAAAATACTAACAGTCGTAACAGAATACTTTTACTAATCCACACTTACTTACATTTGCTTGTGAAACAAAAATAAGGTAGTTGGCTGAGATTCGGCTCGACGGCTCGCTTCTACATTTGATGACAATTTGACATAAAAACCGCAAAATAATAATATCCGGACATCTGACATACGTCTAGTTTCAAACTAAGCAGAGCTAAATACCCACGGCCCCACAACTTTAAGAAAAATATGCTACTTGTCTATGCCGTCAGAAATACACTAACACATGAATCCGTATGTCTTAGTCATTCAGTAATTAAATACAGGCCTCTAAGTTAGATACTCAGCAATTGAGAAACAAATACAAAAATAAATTCATTGTACTACTGAAGCCTTACTAAGCCTTTGCATTTGATAATGTATTCATCAACATCTCAGCCGAAAAAAGTCCACTGTTGGACATAGACCTCCCCCAATTCTCTCCATAACAACCTGTTCTGTTAATGTATTGTCCACCTGCAATTAGGTAATCTTAACATTGTATCATAAACGGCCTCTATGATTCCTTTCGAAGGCTTTCCCCCTAGAATAAATGTGGGTATATGTTATATTGCAATTGACCCATTTGTGTCGGAATACCGTGTGATTTTAATCAATTTTAATCCGAAATAATTTTCATCTTGGGTTTGACACGAAAATAAGCTATTAGCTCAGAGCTCAGTGTTTTTTTTAGAAGAGGGGGCAAGCGAGCAGACCGGTCACCTGATGGAAAGTGACTACCGCCGTGTATTACGCATATTGGTAGAGTACTCGTATATGTAAATTTCTTATTTTACTCCTCGTATTTTCGGTGTCCTAAAAATAGTTAAAAATATATTTTTAAATCAAATAAAAAATCTTTAGTTTTATTCACATATTTTCATATTGTAACAGCGCCCAATGTTACATTAGTAAAAGTTACCAAGAAATTATTTAATGGCT